ACACACACACACACACACACACACACACACACACACACACACACACACACACACACACACACACACACACACACACACACACACACACACACATATACTCCAGTAGCCGAGTGGTTAGTGAGTTCAAACTAAAAAATTATGCCCAAAAGGACGTGTTACCGACACGAGGTTCAGACACGATAACCCTAACTCAAAATGCAGGGCGTGTCAGTGGTGACAATGCGCAGTAATGGCTTGTTTGTAAAATTGACCGATCACTCTTTTCCACGATAAGACACATTAAGGCACGTTAAGGCACGTTAAGACACTTCATTTGTTAAATGTTCTTGTATATTTGATAATCTTTGTATGCATATGTGTGCGTTCAAATGATATATTATGTATTTATGTATGCATGGACGAATATATTTTGTCATTGTAACCTAAATTTCACTATAATGATCAATGAAGTGTTATTTATTCAGTCATATATATATATATATATATATATATATATATATTCATTTATTCATTTAGCTACAAAACCTCCCAGCCTCTCCTGTTGCACCAGAGGCGCAGCAACAGCATGTGGGGGAGAGAAGACTTCACGTCCAATCGGACGCCGAGCTCGCCCTCTTGGCACCGCCCACTTTCCACTCCTGACCCGCCGAAGAAACGGGGCGAGGCCAGGACAGCCTGCGAGCCAATCGCGAGACGCTTTGTGCAGGAGGGCTGGGCCTCGTCCTGCGACAACCCCAAAGAGGGCGGGTCTTTCAAGATGCTGAAACGATCTCCAAGTGCTGCTGGGAGGATAGAAGGACAAAGCTGTGCTGATGGTTGCGGTGAGGTTGTTTTTTTTACGTGATACTATGTTAAAAAGAAGCATAATCATAGTTTTGTAATTCAGATATATTTTCCAAGTCTGCTTTTTTTTTCTCTCTAAAACTTAAGAAGACAGACAACGATATTATGCACATAATGAAATGCGACAAATTGTGCTTCTGAATTATTTGTTTAGGGTGATTTAAATTGTGTCGTAAAATTGCTTTTGGTCTGCTGCTAATCGGACATACATTTAATATTCCTGCTATGTCCTTTAAGAGTTAAAATTAGCTAAGCTTCTCTCTTAAAGGGAGTAGATTGACTGGTCTACTTGAAGTCAAATATGTGTCTTTATATTTTCAATGTAAGTGTTTTTACGCCCCCTACGACGTAATTTAGATACTCTAGACGGCGGGTTCCGACCCTGCCTGTCATGGTCAACCAAAAAGAAGAAGAAGAAGAAGAAGAAGAAGAAGAAGAAGAAGAAGAAGAAGAAGAAGAAGAAGACGACGAGGAGGAGGAGGAGGAGGAGGAGGAGGAGGAGGAGGAGGAGGAGGAGGAGGAGGAGGAGGAAGAGGAGAAAGGGAAAGAAAAAAGAAAAAGAAGTTTTTTTACCGTATAATTATGCAGAATTCACAAGCCGACAAAACCCAGCTTGGCTCAAGGCTATGAACGAGCTACAGCACTGCTCGGCCAAACTGGGGTTAGAGATTAACGGCCCGCACAAAGGTCGCTGGGGGTCAAGGTCAAGGGTCGCCAAATGTGTCAGCTTTGCAGAACCTCTGACGGACTCTCACAGGCACCGACAGTCTTCTTTAGACGATATCTACTGCCGCCCGGATCAGGTAAACTGTGTAAGCATCATCATTGCCTTTCTCACCCTGGATCGAGATATAGTCCGCAAACAAACACTTTCCACCTTTCTCTGTCCTGGACTAGATCTAGTTGCTTGATGTCCCTCCATGTCTTCTCACTTTTTGTACATCCATTTCCGTGACTCTTCTCCAGGTTCCACGTGGTCTTCCCCTTGATCTTTTACACTGTGGGTTTTGTTTTTTGTTTGTTTTTGTAAAGTGTTTTACGGCGCTCGCAACTGCATAATGTCATATGAGCGCGGGGGACACACCTAATATTTTCAGTTGGTAGGAATTTTTGAATTTTCCCCGGGTGGCGGCCAAAGCCTACTCTTATCGATTTTAGACCACCAAGGGATCTTTAACGTGCGCAACTTGCACACGGGCCCTCCGAGATTTTTCGCCCTTGTTCGAGAAGGCTAGGTGTAGATCTTCCCTACCTGAAGATCAGGGGTGTGGCTGAAAGACAGCAGCAAGGAGGAGCCAAGGAGTAACAGTAGAAAGGCTGCAGAAAGAGTCAGGAGCCCAGAGGAGGGGGCAAAGGAGGTGAGGGGGTGGGGGCAGAAAGTGGAAATGAAAGCAGACAACAGAACATTGCTAGAGAGCAGGAAAGGAGGTGAAAGGAGACAATTTTAGAGAAGAATTTTTTTTGGTCGCTACCCGGATTCGAACCCGTTACGTTTGAATGAGAGGCCTACACCTTAACCTCTAGACCACGAGAGCCCCCTACTGTGGGTTTCCAATCTGTAAACTTGTTGAGAGATAATATTGTTACGGCAATGTCGTCGTTATCATCAACACGAAAAAAAAGGGTGGGGTGAGGTTATTATTATTATTACGGTACTATTATCCTCTAGCTCTCACTGGCAAAATTGAGGGAAAGCGAGGCAGGGGTAGGCCCAGAACAACATACTTAGGGAACCCAAACAAATGGGTAACAGGGAAAGATCAGGGAAACGTAGCTTTTCTGAGAGCATCCGAGCAAAGGAATGAATGGAAAATCATGAAAACCGATGTCTGTCGCAGATCTGGCACTGGATGATGATGATGACTATAATCCTCAAAAGCGGCAACAACAGTAGTTACTTTCTTTTACTCTACTAGTTTCTTCTTCAAGTTTTATTCACCCCCCTCTTCATAATTTCTTCTTTTTCATGTATATCCTTTACTCCCCCCCCCCCCTTCACCCCCCC